GCCAATAATCAGCTTTCATCTGTGACATAAGCATACCACAGAGTTATAAAAATGCTAGGCAAAGAACACAAGCCATTCATAAGAGCTTACAATAGTCAAAGTGGTGCAACAATCAACTCCTTCAGAGGGCTGCCATGGTAAGAGTTCACGTTACAGGCTCTGTAAAAGCTTGTGGCAGTTACCACTGTTATACCAGTTCTAGTATCTAACCATCTGCTGCTAAATCTTGTCCCAGAAATTCTGAGGACAGACGCTTAAGTCATTCAAGCTAAATCCTGCTTCCTTACTTATCTGAGTAGGTTTGCCAAATCAATGGGACTACTCAGAACAAAGCAAATAGGACATATAGCCTTCACTCCAATAAGTAAAGGTGCACAGATTGGTACATTTTAGCTGGTAAGGTTCGCTTTTCATTTCCTTGGATAACTTTTAAGCTTCCTATTTAGCATTTGATTTAATGTTCTGTGCTGCTGGAGAGCTATGATGTAGATTACCTTCTGAGAATAATTATATGAAGCAACTCCATCTTGAGGCGAGACTGAGCCTGAGCCTCCATCCTAAAGAAGTTTCAGAGCAAGAAAACAATATGTTTATAATATAGGAGAAGTCCTGTGTTATGAACTCTTTTCTTGGGCTCCAGAAACCCATTATCTAGTAATGCTTCAAGTATACACTCATGAATACATTCCTCAGTTTCGTACAAATCTTTAATTGCAATTCTAGACCGGTTTTATTCCAAATCAAATCACTACCACCTTGCACAAAGCTAGCTTCCAAACCAAAAAAAAAAACAAAAAAAAAAACAGACCAGCTTTACAATGATACTGTGAGGTCACAGACAAGAATTTACTATTTAGCTGAGAAAGCGATGGGAAAAAGGAAAAATTAAAAATAAATGGAATTAGTCTTCCCTTCAAACCCCACCAACCCACTCTCCAAGCAATTATGCTAAACTAGCTTCCGTGGCCTTTTTTTAAGAACACAAGTGTCCCTAGAAAGCCTAATCCACACAGTGACTAAAGCTTACCAAGTTTGCAGTAGACTCTGCTGAATTAAAAACTGTTGGCGTTTCACAGTCAGGATCTGGAGGGTATGGGCAAAATGAATTTAAAAAAAAAAAAAATTAACTTTAATCCTTCAGAAGCTTGTAAAAGATCACACACACTTATTTTATATTCATCATATGTCAAAGTTCAAATTTTTCTTACCTGATGGTGTATATATATATTCTTCATGAAATTCCCCTAGAAAAGAAGGAGCGGGGAAAAGCTTTATTTTGGGGAAGGAGGGAAGAGGAGAGATCAGAACTACTTTTCAGTCTGAGTTAATATGAATCTAGTTGCTATAAGAAAAATTCAGAGAATAGGATGTACTACCTTTGTAGCATTTTGCTTTTCCTGTGAACATCTATAGCTACATTATCAGCTCTTTCATAAATCAGGTATTGTTAAAGTCCCATGCATCACTTGCAGCTAACTGCAAACAGCCCAAATCTAAACTCCAAACAAATAAGAGTCCACAAGCACAGAGCTGTCATGAAGTTAAAATGGGAAATTTGGCCCTAGTTTAAACTAATATGGAAGAACAATCTAGAATTTTAGGGCCTCAAACAAAAGTTAAGAACCTGTTGTATGGAAACAAGTATCGTTCTTCTAACAGAAAATGGCCACATCTACGAGACACTGATTGCACAATAGCCTGATACTACTGCGCAGTAGTGTCACATGGCAAAAATCATGATGCGATGCTACTGTGCAGTGGCATCACAAAAAAAGGCATTTGCTGTTGCTACTGTGCATTTATTTAGTACTTGTAAGTACTAAATAAATCCACAGTAACCACTGTGCAGTAGTGTCTTGTGAACTTTTAGAAACTTCTAAATAAACAGCCTTCATGGTAACTTCATTGCTTGAATAGAGGACTGCTTTCCCCTTAAGTTACCTATTACACTAATATCTCACCCTCTGGTCACGTTTTTCTTTTGTTTGGTTTTTTGGTGGGGGCAGGGGGTGTTGTTTAAGTGTTCTATCAAAAGGAGATTTTAAAGTGACGTTTCTGAAATGTGCCCCTGTTACTCCCCATAGTTACTAGGTAGTTATTTGAAAGGGCTAGGTATATAGGAAACTAGTGATATTGATGCATTCCTCACTTTTTTTTTTTTTTAAGAGCTAAAAAAATAAGTAAGGTAGTAGGTTTGCTTTCCTGGGCACTTTTTGGGAAAAAAAAATTACTGTGGTGCCTTGGCCAATATTCCTTTGTTAGCCACAGAGACGCTAAAACTCAAGGCCAACGTAAAAGAGAACCAGAGTTTGATTTCACCTGTACACCATGCTAAATATTGTGGTCTCTGAATGTTCTGAAACACTGGCAATTTTGTGAAGACGGTAACAGGGAAAAAAGTACTAGTTATTATAAAATACTATACAAAAAATAAAAATAAATAATACTAGTTTATTCTATTCCATCAAGGGCCATAGTAATGTCAGCAACTCCTCTGGTGTTCATTTCAAACAAGTTGTTTGGCCATAGATCTGCATAGACACACTGACAGCGTTTGTCTATCAGAACTATGAGATGAAGTGGGATTAACTGTTCACGTCTCTCATTGCCTAGCACAGCACATGAGCAGCACTTCTAGCCTTAAACAGGCGTTTGCCTTTTTCCTGAGCTTCTCAGGAAAAATGGAAGGCATCTGTGTATGCTGTACAGCAGTGTGGATCATCAGAAGAACTAATGCTTTTACAGCCCACACAAGTATCAAATGGGACAACACAAAATGGAGATTATAGATGCTTTAAACATATTTATTTTCTGAGCATTTAAAACTTACCATTATCACTTGGTTCATCCACTTCTTCTTCTGAGGAATTCAGAGTCTGTTTACTGGGTGGAATGGGCCCTGGACCTCTTCTTGTCACCCAGAATCCTGCAGAAGCAGGAACCATGGGAGCAGGACCACCCTGGCTCTAGGGAACAAGATGAAAATCAGTTACATGAAAATCCTCATTGGGTAGGTTCTTCCCAAAGTCAAACTGGCAGAGCAGCTTTGCTGTTATTTGTACAGGAAAACCCAGATTATTTTTATTGAGGCAACTGATTCATGACTCACTCGGTTCATAGTAGGCTGCCAAATGAAGGATGAGCCACTCAGGAGGTTGCTGCAGCTTTTACTTCAAAGGGTTTCCCTTCTCCTCAGCTGGAACTCATCAGCAGCAACCAGCATGGCTCAAAGTGGTGCCCTCCAAAATAAAAGCTGCAGCAATCATTTTGAGCACTGCAACATTTACCATGCCTTAGTTCACAAACACTTGTCTTCACAAGGAGCTAAGAAAGCTAACTAAAGCATCCAGGCCCTACTGTATTTGTTATGCTTATAGCTTCATTGTTATCTTGTGCCCCCACCTCCTCACCCATGGATTTGAATCCATTAGTTGGATCAGTCAGGGATCCAGGTTTTCCATTTGCCACGGAGGAATGCAGTAAAACCCAGACTCTCTCTTTTTAAGAGAGAAAAACCTGGATTCTCTTTTTAAAGAGAAAAATACAGGAAACAGGGTTTTCCTTTGCAGGCTGGCAGAGTTCCTCCAATAAGTGACAGCCACAGCTTGGGTGCTGTTGGGGGCAGGGGACTGCAGACTTGGGTCACTGACCCTATAACCGTGGCAGCTAGAGGCCCCCTCCAACAGGGCAGGGGCTGTGGGTGGCAAGTGAGGGGCAATGGCATGGGCAAGGCACCAGCATCAGGGCTGCTCAGCACCAGAAAGCAGTTGGGGGGGGGGGGGGGGGGGGGGGGGGGGGGGGGGACACGACACGGGACGACAACTGATAGCCTCACTCTCAGGCATGTCCTCATAGCTAATTTAAAGACTGTTTAGTGCTTAGGCCATGCTAATTAAGATATAA